GATGGTATGAGGTCCCCCTGTCTTTCTGCTCACTTCTGTCTTTTATATCTCAAGAGATTGCCTCAGGACACAATCCAGTCTTGTAGATCAGGTCCTGCCTTACTAACACAACTGCCACCCATCCTCCCTCATTAACATCAGAGAGGCAGGTTTACAACATACAGGCAAATGACACAGTACCAGGAATCATGGCCTAGCCAAACTGATACACACATTTTTTGGGGGACATAATTCAAACCATGACAGTGCACAATATGTCAGATGGTGATGATGCTGCGGTGACAAATACAGTAGGATAAACCGTTGCCATCAAGTCGATTCTGAGTCATAATGACACTATAGGACAGAGTAGAATTGCCCCATAGGGTTTCCTAGGCTGTAATCTTTACGGGAACAGCTCGTAGGTCTTTTTCCCCACGGAGTGGCTGGTAGGTTTGAACCACCAACTTTTCGGCAACCAAGCACTTACCCACTGCACCGCCAGGGCTTTTTATTGTAGGGATAAGGGGGTAGAGAATGATCTGGGAATAGATGGGAGCTAGAAAAGACCTCTCTGAATTTTTGATGAGATGACATTTCGGCAGAGACATGAAGTAAGGAACAGGTTGTACAGATAGCTGGATGAAGAGCATTCTAGGCAGAGAGAAAAGCAGGCAAAAAGATGGGAGTGTGCTTGAAGTATTCAGGAAGCAGCAAAGATGCCAGCGTGGCTGGAACATAAGGAGCAGTGTAGAGAGTGGTAGAAGATAAAGTTAGAGAGGTAGCCGGGAGTCTGATCATGTAATATAAGGTCTTGTAGGCCTTGGTGAGCACTGGCCATTATTTTGAGTAATTTAGGAAGCCATTGGAGGGTTTTGAACAGATCTGGCTTATATTTTAAAACGTTTCTTGTGGCTGCTGGGTGGAAGGAGGGAGACTAGTTAGAAGATCATTAGATTAGTTCAGACAGGTCATGATGGCGGCTTAGATCAGGTGATAACAGAGCATATATTTGCATATGGACAGGAGTCAAGGATGACCTCAGGCTTTTAGCCAGAGCAAGTGAAGAATGAAGTTGCCTTTTACTGAGGGAGGGAAGACTGTGGGAGGAGTAGGTAGGGTGGTTGAGAAGCGGAAAGGTAGGGTGGTGGTAGAAATAAAACCTGATTTTGACATGTTATGTTTGTGATGCTTGTTAGATACTCAGGTAGAGATGTTGAATGGATAGATATATGAATCTGATGTTTGGGGAGAGATCTGGGCTGGAAATACAACTGGGAATGGTCAGCATATTGATGGTATTATAAGCCATGAGACTACTAAATGTTCACAGGTTGAATAAGATGTTTATATTTGAGGAAAGTTCTTTGGATCTCATTTTTTTTCCTTTTTCTCATGTGCTGATGTAAGCTGATCTTCTCATTCTTTTTTTTCAGTTAACAGAAGATGAAATAGCTACAGTATTACAGTCGACACTTAAGGGACTGGAATACCTTCATTTTATGAGAAAAATTCATCGCGATATCAAGGCGGGAAATATTTTGCTAAATACAGAAGGACATGCAAAACTTGCAGATTTTGGGGTAGCAGGTCAGCTTACAGTAAGTAAAAATGCCACTTAAATCGATCACTTCCAGCTGTCTTGAAATCATTTCCTTTTATTTTTTTAAGTAAAATGCTTGACTTAATCGTGTTAGTCAAAAACTGTAGACTCTACTAACAGGTTATGAAAGAGTTAGTAGGTTATTTTAGATCCTTTCCAGGGGTTCAGGTCACATAGTTGACTATGTGCATGTTTAACTTTGATAAAAACAAAAACTTAAGAAATGATAGGGTAGAAGTTTAAATTTTATAGGACTACATCAGCATATAAAAAAAGGAAAAAGAATTAAATTCATACTCCTTTTCTTGAATAAGATACAACATCATTTCATTCAATCTCCAGACAGTACTTGAAAGTTATTTTACTGTAAACGCTCTCCTCACTTGCTTCTAGAGTATCAGTCTCTTGATTCCTGTACTACCTCACTGGTGCATGGCAGTGAAAAACACATTTCAGACAGGAAGTCTAGAATTATCTGATTTTTTTAAATACCTAAATATATATGAAAGTATATGTAAAAGAAGTTTGGGATACATACATTACAATTTGCAAGAACATACATTCAGTGGTTTTCTTGGATGGTAGAAATTTTATATATTCCCGCTCATAAGGACCTTGTAGGACAGACAGGGTAGAACTGCCCCTAGGGTTTCCTAGGCTGTAATCTTAAGCACCTGGTGAGTTCAAACTGCTGATCTTTTGGTTAGCAGCCAAGAGCTTAACCACTGCACCACCAGAATTGATACATTTGAATTATGGTGTTGGCGAAGAATGTTGGACTTCCAGAAGAACGAACACATTTGTCTTGGTAGAAGTACAGCTAGAATGCTTCTTAGAAGTGAGAATGATGAGACTTCGTCTTACTTACTTTGGGCATGTTATCAGGAAGGACCAGTCCCTGAAGAAGGACAGCATGCCTTGGTAAAGTAGAGGGTCATTGAAAAAGAGGAAGACCCTCAACAAGATGAACTGATACAGTGGTTGCAACAGTGGGCTCAAACATAACAAGGATTGTGAGGATGGCGCGGGACTAGGCAGCGTTTCGGTCTGTTGTACATAGGGTCACTATGAGTTGGTACGGGCTGAATGGCACCCAACAACAACGTGTGTGTGTGTGTGTGTGTGTGTGCGCGTGTGCGTGTGTGTATACATATATAATTTTAGCAATTGGTTGATTATTCCATTATTACTTATAATCTCGTTGTTACAATACCTGCTTTGGCAGAATTTTTTCTCCCTTCTAAAATGTACAATTCTGTTTTTTCAGTATGTTCACAAAGTTGTATAACCATCACTGCTATCTAATTCCGGAACATTTTCATTACTCCAAAACTTCTTACCCATTAGCAGTCGTGGCTCATTCTCTCCCCCACCTGGCCCCTAATAACCACTAATCTACTTCCTGTCTCTGTCGGTTTGCCTATTCTGAACATTTCATATAAATGATATCATAAACTATTTGTCTTTTTGTTCTGGCTTCTTTCATTTAACAGAATATTTTCAAGGTTCGTACATGTTGTATCAGTATTTCATTCCTTTTTATGACTGAATAATATTCCACTGCATGGATATACCATGTTTTGTTGATCCATTCATTAGTTGGACATTTGGGTTGTTTCTGCTTTTTGATTATTATGAATAGTGCTGCTATGAAGTTTATGTACGGGTGTTTTTGTGAACGTGTGTTTTCATATGACATATGGAGTTGCTGGGTCATACGGTAACTCTATTTTTAACTTTATAAGGAATTGCCGAACTGTTTTCCAGAGCAGCTTCGTTTTGCATTCCCACCAACAATGTATGAGATTGAGGGTTCCAATTTCTCCACATCCTAACCAACACTTATTTTCTGTTTATTTAATTATAGCCATCCTAGTGGGGGTGAGTGGCTGCAACAATGGGCTCAGACATAGCAACAATTGCGAGGATGGCGCAGGACTGGGCAGTGTTTTGTTCTGTTTACATAGGGTTGCTGTGAGTCAGATCTGGCTCCATGGCACCTAATGGCAACAAAGTAGGGGTGAAGTAGTACCTCACTGTGATATTGATTTGCATTTTCCTGATGACTAATAGTAGTGAGCATCTTCTCTTGTGCTTATTGGCCATTTGTATGTCTTCTTTGGGGAAATGTCTATTCAAAATCTTTGCCTATTTTTCAAATGATTTATTTGTCTTAATTCATTGTAAGAGTTTTTCTAAAAATATATTTTAGATACAAGTCCTTTATCTTATATATAATCTGCATATATTTTCTCCCATTCTGTGGGTTTTCTTTACAGTCTTGATGGTGTCCTTTGAAACAAAATTTTTCATTTTGATGATATCCGGTTTGTCTGTTTTTCCTTCTGTTGCTTGTGGCTTTGGTGTCATATCTAAGAAATCATTGCCTAATTTAAGGTCATGACAATTTACTGCCATGTTTTCTTCTAAGAGTTTTATAGTTTTGGCTCTTAGATTTAGGTTTTTGATCGATTTTAAGTTAATTTTTGTATATGGTTTGAGGTGGGGGTCTAACTTCATTCTTTTGTAAGATCCAGTTGTCCCAGCACCATTTGTTAAAAAGACTGTTGTTTCTCCATGGCATGGTTTTGGCATGCTTTTTGAAAATCGATTGACCGTAATTGTATGGGTTTATTTCTGGGCTCTCAATTCTATTCTGTTGATCTGTATATCTATCCTTATGCCAGAACCACACTGTTTTGATTACTACAGCTTTGTACTAAGTTGGAGCCCTGGTGGCGCAGTGGTTAAGAGCTAGGCTGCTAACCAAAAGGTTAGCAGTTCGAATCCACCAGCCACTCCTTGGAAATCCTATGGGGCAGTTTTACTGTGTCCTGTAGGGTCGCTATGAGTCAGAATCGAATTGACAGCAATGGGTTTGTACTAAGTTTTGAAATAGGGAAGTGTGAATTTTCAAATTTTGTTCTTTTTCAAGATTATTCTGTTCTGGGTCTCTTGCATTTCCATATGAATTTTAGGATCAGTTTATCAGTTTCTGCAAAAAAGACTTGGAATTTTGATAGGGATTGTGTAGAATCTTAGATCAATTTAGAAAATATTGCAATCTTAATAAGTTTTGCAATCCATGAATACAGGATGTCCTTCCATTTATTTAGATCCTCTAATTTCTTTCAAAGATGTTTTGTAGTTTTCAGTTTACAAGTCTAGCACTTAAAACTTGGTTAAATTTACACCTACGTAGTTTGTTCTTTTTGATGCCATTTTAAATGAAATTGTTTTCTTAATTTTATTTTTGGAGTTTTATTACTAGTGTATAGAAATACAGTTGATTTTTGTATGTATTTTGTATACTGTAAGCTTGCTGAGCATGTGTCGTTTTGCTAAGGAAGGCGAATCTGCTTCACTAAAATAAAGCTGTAGTACAGAAGATCTACTTCAGAAAAAAGGTCTGGAGATCTACTTCTAAAAAATCAGTCTTTGAAAACCCTGTGGAGCACAGTTCTACTCTGACACATGTGGGGTCTCCATGAGTCAAAATGGACCGTATGGCAACTGATATTTTCATCCCTCTTATAAGGGTACCTGGAAACCCTGGTAGTGTAGTGGTTAAGAGTTCAGCTGCTAACCGAAAGGTCGGCAGTTCGAATCCACAGGGCACTTCTTGGAAACCCTGTGGGGCAGTTCTGCTCTGTCCTGTAGGGTCGCCATGAGTTGGAGTCAACCCGACAGTAATGGGTTTGGATTTTGGTTTTATAAGGGTACCTAGTGCCACCTGTTTCTAAGCCTTTTGGAGGAGTTGGTGTTAAAATCAGATTGTTTTTCCACTTTTCCAGCAGCTGACTCAGGATTCAGTTTCCACAGTCAGTTATTTATTTGCTTTCTAGCTTCTAAAATTTTGTTGCTGTTTTTTTTCTTTTATTTTTTATTCTTGTGGATTTATGTCTATAAAGAAAAAATCCTTTTAGTGCCTTTTTAGTCGGTTTTTGGGAGGAGCAAAAGCAAAATGTATTTGTTCAATTTATCATTTTTACAATAAATCTATAATATTATTTCTCATGGCAACATGAGTATTTCACTGTGTGGATGTACCTTGATTTGTTTAACTCATTCTGTATAATTGGATATTGAATTCCCATTTAGGTTGTTTATAGTTTTCCTGCCATCATAAGCATAAATTCTGTGATAAACATCTTGCAGCTAAACATTTGGACACTTCCTTGAGTATTTCCTTAGGATAATTTCTTAACATTGGAATCTGGGTTAGAAATTTAAATGTGTGAAATTTTAAGCCTTTTGATGCATATTGTCAAATTGCTTCTGAAGGGAGCAATTTATGCTTCCAATTACAGTATATAAATGTGTCCATTTTCCTGAATATTTGCCAGTTCTAGCTGGGCAATAAAATGTACCTTTCTTAACATTTTCAAAGCAATTAAAAAATTTAATATTTGATTATTGGCCACTTGTAATTCTTTTATAAATGAACTGTTTACTTATTTGCCAGTTATTCTAATGAAATGTTAATCTTTTAAAAAATAATTTGTTAAAAAGGATAAACCAAAGTAAAAAAATTTGTATGTTAAAGATGTTAATCCACTGTCATACGTTGTTGAAACTGGTTTTCCTAGTTTGCTATTAGTGTTTTTATTTTATTTTATTTTTTAAATACAGAGGTTTTCCAATTTTATATAGACAAATCTACCTTTTATTTTATGATTTCTACCTTTGATGTCATGCTTAAAAAGTCCTTTTCTACTCCAGAATTGTTGTATAACTGTTTATCTACACTTTCTTCTAGTATTCATTTGGTTTTTGTTCATTTAAAAAATTTTAACCTTTTTGAACTTATTTTGATGAAAGTACAAGGTAGGAGGAATTTAAGTGTAGAGTTGTGCAAATGACTAGCTGGATACCCAGTAACTTCTGTTTTGTTTTGTTTTGCATATTTTATCCTTTGCTTGCCGATTTTAATTATATCTTCAAATCTTATACACCTACTCCTCACTTCTTTACATGGTTTGGTTCCAAAGACCAGGTCACTAATGCAAAAGTCGACGTTATGTGACAATGGAGGATGACCACATCAGATCACAAAACAATAGAGAATGACTATATCATTATATAACTGCCAATCTACATCATTACATGACTGGCAAACCACTGAGTATCATGGCCCAGCCAAGCTGACACATAACCTTAACCATCACCTCGCACCTTGGTGTTCGTTACTTCCAGACGTATGTCATTAATGCTCAGAATAGTCAGATAGTAGATTTTTGACTATTGTCATAAACGCAAAATGTTGGATAACAAGTTAGTCAATAAGTGAGAAGTAGGTGTATATGCCACAGTCTGTTTCTGGACTTAATATTTTCCATTGCTTTGTGGTGCAGTGATTAAAGCTTCGGCTGCTAACCAAAAAGTCAGCCATTGGAATCCACCAGCTGCTCCTTGGAAACTATATGGGGCAGTTCTACTGTGTCCTATAGGGTCACTATGAGTCGGAATCGACTCGATGGCAATGGGTGTTTGTGCTACTGTATTAATGTTGCTTTGCAGTATAGCTCTAGTTGGGTTAGTATCCCCTCGTTCTTTTTCTTTTGGGTTTTGTGGAGCCTTTTTATTTTTTTATGCTTTTAAGTCATGTTAAGAATAATTTATAGAAGTAAGAATCAAAGCATAATATGAAAACAAATTTTAGTAAACATTTCAGTATGAATGTAAACAAAGGAGTCCTCATTGTATCAGGTGAATTTTGGCAAACATAATAAAAATGAAAAAATATCATCACAAGTCCTTTTTGCAAAACAGAATTGTCTACTTTTATTTTTTTTTAAATAGCGGGTGATGAAGTCCTTTCTGTTGAGTGACTTGCTGGATGAGAATATCCTATTTCCTTTCTGTCTTAGAAATATAGTGTTCACTCATTGATTCTTTTTTTTAAATAATATTTTATTGTGTTTTGGTGAAAGTTTACACAGCAGATTAGCTTCCCATGTAACGATTTTTATACAGATTGTTCCGTGCCATTGATTGCAATTTTTTCACTGTGTCAGCATTCTCATTATTTCCATTCTGTTTGTTCTGTTCCCATTGATCTAGCTTCCCTTCCCCTCTTTGCCTTCTCATCTTGTTTTCAGGTAAATGTTGACTGTTTGGTCTCATATAGTTGATTGTTTAAGGGAGCACATTACTCACGGGTGATATTGTTTATTGTATAAGCCAATCTGTTATTTGGCTGAAAGGTGAGCTCCAGAAATGCCTTCAGTTCCAAGCTCAAAGACTATCTTAGGGCAGTAGTCTTGGGGTTTCCTCTAGTCTCTATCAGTCCAGTAGGTCTGTCCTTTTTTAGGAGTTTGAATTTTGTTCTGCATTTTTTTCCCATTCTGTCAAGTACCTTCTATTGTGTCTGTGGTCAGAACAGTTGGTAGTGGTTGTCAGAATGGTTGGTAGTGGTTGTCAGAACAGTTGGTAGTGGTTGTCAGAACAGTTGGTAGTGGTAGCCAGACACCATTTAGTTCTTCTTCTGGTCTTAGGTTAGGAGAGGCCATGGTTTGTGTGGACTGTTAGTCCTGTGGACTAGTTTCTTCTTTGAACCTTTGATTTCCTTCATTCTCTTTTGCTCCATACGAGTAGAGACCAATAGTTGTATCTTAGATGACTGCTTGCAGGCTTTTAAGACCCAGATGCTACTCACCAGATTAGGATGTAGAACATTATCTTTATGAACTGTGTTATTCCAATTGACTAAGCTATCCCTTGAGACTATGGTCCTAAGCCTTTTTTTTTTTTTTTTTTTCATTTTACTTTTTAATAGATAATACTTCTACGTGGTTCAAAAATTGAAAGGATTCAGTGAGAAGTCTGCCTTTCTCCTGTTTTATTCCCTGAAGTCAACCAGTGTTATTAATTTCTTATTTATATTTCCAGGGGTATCTTGTGCCTATATAAGCAAATGTGTGTGTGTGTGTGTGTGTGTGTGTGTGTAAACATTTCTCCCTTTTGTAAAAAAAAAAAAAAAAAGTGAAAGCATACTTTACACACTGTCTTGCACCTAACTTATCTAATACAGTGTATCTAGGAGATACTCCATACCAGTTATATATCTTAGTTTAGCATTTAAGGCATCTCATCCCTCCAGGATTGTTTCCCACTACTTCTGATTGAAGCATTTATTGATGAAGATCAAAGACTACAGTCTTCAGCATGGATTACACCGCAACATAAAGACAACAGAAATCCTCACAACTGGACCAATAAGCAGCATCATGATAAATGGGGAAAATATTAAAGTTGTCAATGATTTCATTTTACTTGAATCCACAGTCAACGTCCATGGAAGCAGCAGTCAAGAAGGTCCTAAGCCTTTTAACCCAGTAAACCAGACCCATGGGTTTGGATGTCTAAGAAGCCTGTGTAACTGTGGCCCCTTGCACTTTGTTATGTGTATGGATATATATGCAGCACACACAAACGTGTATACGTATGCCTGCAGGTACACCTGTACATGCATGTGCATTTACTTGATCCCTTCCTTACTCTTAATTTTCAAAAATTTCTTATCCAAGTACCTGTTTCTTATTGAGATAATTCTGTGAAAACAGCTTTGACCACCATCGTTTAAAAACACCCCTGCAAATCTGAAGTTTCAGAGCTAAGGAAATGACTAAGCAGTAAGTTATTTCCTGTGTTAATTTATTACATAGGGCTGACACTGAGATCGATTGAAAAATACTGCCTGTCGTTTGCTCCTCACTGGCATCAGCCAGCCTAAGCTACAGACATTTGAGAAGGAACATGGGGGGATGATGATGAGAAATCCCATGCATTGTTAGTTCTGTTTAAAATCCCTCTCTTCCTAAAGTAGAGGAACTGTAGGAAGGTTCACTTTCATTAGGCCAAGCCATTATGGGGAAGTGTGCAAGCATTTATTTGCCATGTGCGCCATATCCAGATACTCACTCTTCTTTAAGCCCCAAACCAAGACTTTCTACACATCTTTTTACGTATCGTTTTCGTTCTTTTCTGGATTACACATGTAATACATGCTCATGTAAACCGTCAGAGTGTTATAGAAGTATACAGAATGGAAAGTAAAAGTCCTTAGTGATTCTACCGTTTATTACAATTACTGTTAACAATTACTTATCAGCAGTTGCTATTGTTAATAATTTCGTGTATTTTACTCCATTTTTTTTTTACTATACATACAGCAACATTTCTTATCGTTATTGGTGGTTGTTTTTATTGTTATGATCATATTGACATTATTATATAATACTCTTTTCCAAAAATAGGGTTATGTTATATATAACCTAATTCTTTCAACCTGAGTTTTTTTGCTTCACAATATATCTTGTACATTTTTTTTTTAATGCCAGCATCTGTATATCTTCTTTTCTTCTATGTAGTATTTTATTTTATGAATATTTATTGTATTTAACTGACCCTCTTTTGGTGGTCATTTGGATTGTCTCATTTTTCTTTTTCCCTGCTCTATTACAAACATTTCTGCCGTCTTTATGTATTTATCTTCGGGCATTTGCACACAGGGTAAATGTCTAGAAATAGATCTGAATCAGAGATAGGGGCATTTAAGAGTTTAATAATACGGTCAAATTGCTTATCAAAAAGTTGTATCAATTTATACTCCAGTAACATTGTATTTGAATGCCTGTTTTTCTCTGGCAGTACAAACTGACAGGATGATATCTTGTTTTAGTTTGTGTTTTAATAATTGATTAATAATCTTTTTACATATTTCTTGGTCATTTGAATTTCTTTTGTGACTTGCTTGATCATGTTTTGAGTATGGATCTTAGATGTATTTCAAATACAAGGCATTTCTTACTATTGGAAAAGTCTCTTTTTCTCAATAGTTTTAATGCTTAGTGTTGTTCTCTTTTCTTTCTATTTTAGGATACCATGGCTAAGCGAAATACAGTGATAGGAACACCATTTTGGATGGCTCCAGAAGTGATTCAGGAAATTGGGTACAACTGTGTGGCAGACATCTGGTCGCTAGGAATAACTGCCATAGAAATGGCTGAAGGAAAGCCCCCGTATGCTGATATCCACCCAATGAGGGTAAGGAAATGGACAGACAACCAGTGGGTGGTTAGTTACTGGTCACCATTAGAAAGTTAATTAAATGACTTGCTTGGTTTGAGACTGGACAATAAATGAACTTACTGCATGTAAGTGATAAGTGTCACTTTAGACTCTAGATTATACATTGCTACTGACTAGTTGTATTTACTAATTAATTCAAGCCTGAGCCGACCCTCTCTGTTGCTGAGATTGTGTATTGATAGCCCTCTGGCAAGACATGGGTCACAGAAATGCTTAGTTTGACCTGTGCAATATTTTAAAAAATATTTTAGGGGCCTACATTTGAACATGACAACATTAACTGGAGCTGAGTAGTGCTTATCTCCTTTATACAGGGCATGGGCTTTCCACTTTACCAGTCCCCATGATTATCTATTCTGTCACCAAGCATCAGTTGTCATTTATTATAGGGTTTTCTCTAACATTTTTACCTATAAGTATTAAGAGGATAGCAAACAATTTTTTTGCACTCTTGTCTCTAACACCAAGCCAGGTCCATTTGTTGTCTTTTCCCTGCCTGGCCCCTGTAGGCATTTGGATTTGTAAGTTCTGCTTTGTGGGTCCCCAGACTCAGTTCATCTGTACTCTGCAGCCTCCCTGTACTTCTAGAGTATTAGGAGACTGTAGCTGCATCTCCACTGAAACTCCCTAATGTGAACACCCTACAGGGTTCCCAGGTTTTACCCACCCTCAGGACCCCTCATCACAACACTTTCACGACCCCAGCCCTGCCTTTCTTTGTGACTCTGCAGTTCTCACAATAGCTCCCAACCCCCAGCTCTTCCCTTCTCAGATTAGTTAGTTTTCCTATTAAGAGACTTGACTCTTTTTTAAAGTATTCATGAGCCATGTCCAAAGGTAAGCTCCTTCCCCTTGGCAGAAGTAGGGAAGGGTGAGGGAATTTACTGGTGATATTTTTAGATTTAAAGACTATAAGTTGCTTATTGCAAAGAGTTTTGTTTTAGAAAAACAGGCTTTTCCTTTATTGGGAACTCAAGAAATAATTAGTCTTATTTTTTTAAATAATAGAATTTAACTGTAATTTAGTGGACCAATTTTTAATTGTATTTTGTTTCAAGTATGTCAGATTGGCTTGGTTTGTAGTTTAATGAATCCCTTGTGATTTGGGGGGCTTTTGGGTTTGTGATTTCCTTGCAGTCACTGCTTACAGCCAGGGGTGGTGGTTCCATTTGTGGAGGAGGGAAACTTGACAACTGTGGGGCTAAGATTATCTTCTGGATATGAATTTTCTTACCTTTCCATGTTGGAAAGCAGTGAACTGTGGTTAAAAAAAAAATGCTTTCGATATTGTGAAGTTTAGGGGAACAGACTATTCCATGAAGAGTGGGTAGAGACATAAGGAGAGAGAGAGAGGTATTATCAGGTTCTCCAATTGTCCACCTTCCTGCTTTGAGGTACCTAGATTTTGTTGGAATTTGGATGGGTTTGTCTGTGGGTAAGAGAAATACTATTTTACCAAGCTTCAAATGTAATCCCAGTCAGATTCTTATTGGGGCATCACTTTAATTTTATAGAATCTTTTCTTTTCTTTTTTTTTTTTAAACCAGGCAATCTTCATGATTCCTACAAACCCTCCTCCCACATTCCGAAAACCAGAGCTGTGGTCCGATAACTTCATGGATTTTGTGAAGCAGTGTCTTGTAAAGAGCCCTGATCAGAGAGCCACAGCCACTCAGCTCCTACAGGTATGATCCACCTGATATGCTGCCTCCCTCCATTTCATTCACATGCTGACGAAAAGATGCTGTTAGGCCACCTACTTGGAGGTAGCAAAGACTTATAAGACATTCCCCGCCTCTACGTTGGAATCTAATTGAGTGGAAAAGACATAGAAAGGAATGTTAAGTCATTGAACAAGACAGTATTGCAACAAAATACAAGGATGTGTGGGATTAGAGAGAGGCAGTTGACATTTAAGGAGCACCTGCTGTGAGCGGTTGCTTTGAATGTGTTATGCCACTTGATCGTCAAATAAGCCTCGTGAGGGATGGGTGTCATTTCAGTTTTACAGGTGAGGAAATGGAAGCTTAGGAGGTCAACTCATTTAGAGTCACACAGGTTGTAAACAACAGAGCCAAGATTAGAAGCTAGGTCTTTCTGACTCCAACACAGGAATGCTGTCAGGTCTACCTAACTCTGGCAAAGAATTGAGATGAATGATAGGTGCTATTGCTTCAGGGTAAGGGGAGGTCACTTTGGGATGGAGGCACTAGGAATGCTTTCCTGGAGGAGGTAGTTTCTACACCTGGGCCTTGAATGATAGATTGGATTTGGCAGGCAATATGCTTAGTGTAGAGGAGCTTGCATTCTGGAGGCAGACTGCCCAGGTTCAAGTCTCCGCTCCCTGTTCACTAGCTTTGTGACCTTGGCAAGTAACTTTACCTCTTTGTACCTTAGTTTTATTAGGTATAAAATGGGCATAAAGTACTTGCTTTATATATTGTGAAGATTAAGTGATAGAATACGTGTAACTTTGAATAGTGCTTTACATGTATTACAGATAGTATAGTGTGGACTTGACAAATATCTACTATTATTATTGGGCTAGGCCAGTTGTTTTCAACCATATCAGAGCCAATACCCCCGCCTGCCCCCCCCCTTTTTATTTTATTGTGCTTTAGGTGAAAAGTTGCAGCACAGATTAGTTTCTCATTAAAAAATTTATACACAAATTGTTCTGTGACATTGGTTGCAATCCCTGCAATGTGACAGCACTCTCCCCCTTTGCATCCCAGGTTCCCTGTGTCCATTCGTCCAGTTTTCCTGTCCTTTCCTGCTTTTGGGCAGGAGTTGCCCATTTGGTCTCGTATGTTTGATTGAACTAAGAAGCACATTCCTCACATGTGTGATTGTTTGTTTTATAGACCTGTCTAATCTTTGTCTGAAAAGTGAGCTTTCGGGAGTGGCTTTAGTTCTCAGTTTGCAGGGTGTCCAAGGGGCCATAGTCTTGGGAGTTCCTCCAGTCTCTGTCAGATTAGTAAGTCTGGTCTTCTTTTGTGAATTTGAATTTTGTTCTACATTTTTCTCCTGCTCTGTCTGGGACTCTCTGTTGTGATCCCTGTCAGAGCAGTCAGTGGTTGTAGCCGGGCACCATCTAGTTCTTCTGGGCTCAGACTGGTGGAAGCTGTGGTTCATGTGGTCCTTTTAGTCCCTTGGGCTAATATTTTTCTTGTGCCCACATGCTTTTAAGACCCCAGACACTACTCACCAGAGTAGAATGTAGTACATTTTCTTTATGAACTTTGTTAAATGCCAGTTGACCTAGATGTCTCCCAGGACCAGTCCCCAACCCTCAACCTCAGCATCTTGGTGCCTCAATGTGTTTGGATGTGTCTAGGAAGCTTCTGTGACTTTGCCTTGTTCAGGTTGTGCTGCCTTCCCCTATATTTGTGTGCTGTGTTACCCTTCACCAAAGTTGACACTTGTCTGCTATCTAGTTAGTGATTTCCCCTCCCCATCCGTTCCCTCCCTCGTAACCATCAAAGATTGTTTTTTTTTCTATGTGTAAACCTGTTCTTAAGATTTTATAATAGTGGTCTCATACAGTATTTTCCTTTTTGGAATTGATTCACTTCACTCAGCATAATGCCCTTCAAATTCATCTATGTTGTGAGATGCTTCATGGATTCATCATTGTTCTTTATTGTTGCATAGTGTTCCATTGTGTGTATATTCCATAATTTGCTTATCCATTCATCGGTTGATGAGCACCTAGGTTGTTTCCATCTTTTTACTATTAATAACACTGCAGTGAACATGAGTGTGCATATGTCTACTCATATGACGGCTCTTATGTCTCTAGGCTATATTCCTAGGAGTGGGATTGCTGGATTGTATTGTATTTCTATTTCTAGCTTTTTAAGGAGATGCCATATCGTTTTCCATAGTGGTCGTGTCATTTTACGTTCCTGTCAGCCGGTCATAAGAGTTCCAGTCTCGCTGCAACCTTTCCAACATTTATTATTTTCTGTTTTTTTGATTAGTGCCAGTAACGTCAAGGTGAGATGGTATCTCATTGTAGTTTTGATTTGCATTTCTCTAACGGCTGATGATCGTGAGCATTTTTTCATGTGTTTGTTAGCCACCTGAATATCTTCTTTGGTGAAGTGTCTGTTCATATCCTTTGCTCATTTTTTAATTGGATTATTTGCCTTTTTGTTGTTGAGGTGTTGAAGTATTCTACAGATTTTAGAGATTAGACCCTTGCCGTATGTGTTGTAGCCAAAAATTTTTTCCCAGTCTGTAGGTTCTCTTTTTACTCCTTTGGTGAAGTCTTTTGATGAGCGTAAGTGTTTAATTTTTAGAAGCTCCCAGTTATGAAGTTTATCTTCTGGTGTTTATACATCATTATAGTTTGTATTGTATTTATGCCTTGTATTAGGACCCCTAGTGTTGTCCCTATTTTTTCCTCCGTGATCTTTATCATTTTAGGTTTTATATTTAGGTCTTTGATTGATTTTGAGTTAGTTTTTCTGTATGGAGTGAGGTATGGATCCTGTTTATTTTTTTACAGATGGACATCCAGTTACGTCAGCACCATTTGTTAAAGAGACTGTCTTTTCCCCATTTAGTGGACTTTGGCTCTTTGTCAAATATCAGCTGCCCGTAGATGGGTGGACTTAATTTGGTTCTCAGTTCTAGTCCATTTGTCTGCGTGTCTGTTGTTGTACCAGTACCAGGCTGTTTTGACTACCATGGCTGTGTAGAAGGTTCTAAGATCAGGTAGTGTGAGGCCTCCCACCTTGTTCTTCTTCTTCAATAATGCTTTACTTATCTGGGGCCTCTTCCCTTTCTGTATAAAGTTGGTGATTAGTTTCTCCGTCTCATTAAAGAATACTGTTGGAATTTGGTTTGGGATTGCATTGTATCTGTAGATTGCTTTGAGTAGTAGTGATATTTTCACAGTGTTGAGTCTTCCTGTCCATAAGCATGGTATGTTTTTCCATTTAGGTAGGTCTCTTTTGGTTTCTTGCAGTAGTGTTTTGTAGTTTTCTTTGTATAGGTATTTTATGTACTTGGTTAGATTTATTTCTAAGTATATTATCTTTTTGGGGGCCCAATGCCCTCTTTTTATAACCAACATATATTTTTAATACTCTCATAACTTCTGGGATGAAATTCATAGATGATAAAATCTATTATCCTTGTAATAAAAAGAAAATCAGCATAATGTCATACCTGTGATATAATGGAGATATATAAAGATAATATTTTATAATAAAATAATATGTATTTCAGTATAGAAATGCTCCAGCATGACCCAACGTGAAGACATAATGAAGTAGTTAGATACCTGTATCTAGCATCATGAATGACTTTAGATTTAAGAGCAGGAAGATCAGAAACCATTCCATTCAAGAAATACAGGAAAATGAAAGAGGTATGGGTAGACAGTAGAATAAAAAGTGTTAAGTAATAACTGACCAGACTTATTTGTATTTAAGAGAAAGAGGGGAATGATCTTACAGACTAGTAAGATATTCTTGCAAAGGAGCTGGGTCTTATTTCTAAGTGTACCAAATTTTTTTTCTGCCTGGATGGGGTAGTGATGAAGTTTAATGGAAAATATATCTCTGTATTGAGATCCCACCACGTTTTGAGACACACTTTCAATCTCTGAAGTACCTAAAAAGGCCATGGGGATCATACCCATTGATAGATGATGGGAATAGAAAGTTGATTACAAAGAGACACACTGGACAATATCAGAGTAAGTTTGGAAAACAACAGGCAGCCCCCCAAAGGGAATTTCCACATATAACTTTCACAGCGTAGATTTTTTTTTTTAATCATTGTGCGATCAGTAACAACAACAAAAATGTAAGATGGTATTACTGTTAAAATTTTAAAGCGGTTTTTATTAATGTAACTCAGTAATAACCCTGTGTTTCAGGTGTCTTTGCTGATTGAATAATGTTTAGGTCCACATCTGTTACATATTTGTGATCAGTTTTAGTATTTCTTCAGTAACTGCACTTCTGTGCTAAAATTCTTTTTACCTGAATAGAAAGACTAAATGGAGTAAATAAATTATTCTGTGATTTCTAACCAATGTCTTTATTCTATTTGAATTTTGCTCTCCAGTCCAAAAAGACTTCCCAAATTGCTAGGCTTTCTGCATATGTCTTGAAGAAACTTTTTGGTATTATTTACTGAAGTGTACATATTCTCTGAAACATTTGGAAAATGTGCAGAACGTGGCACAATTCTCTTTTGTGTGGACTGTTCTGAACGTTGCAGGACTGCTTGGCATCCTTGCCTCCCCTCATATGCTGTTTGTGCTCTTCAAGCCATGGGACAATTATAATATGCTCCCACACACTTACACAATGTCCTCTAGGTGGTGGTGCAGTTGTGCTGAGAATCTCAAGATTAGGCGGAAAGAAATGGAGTAGGCATTCCAGCCAGGCAGTACAAAAATAAGCAAAGCTTGAATGTGCATCTATTCAGAGTTATACAGTGAATGTGGTTTAGCTATTGTCCGAAGCATGAAGGGAAAAAGTAAATTCACTGATTCAACAAATATTTAAGTGCCTTCTGTGTGCCACACACTGTTTTGGCACTGATGCTGTATAAACTGTCTCCAGACTTTCCCACTCTCTTGTTTAAGCACCCATTTGTCAAGAGTGCCAAAGGAGTGTCGATACTGCGGGACTTAATTAATGAAGCCATGGACGTGAAACTGAAACGCCAGGAAGCCCAGCAGCGGGAGGGGGACCAGGATGATGAAGAGAACTCAGTGAGTGACAGGCATTGCTGTGGGCCTTGAGCATCCATCCTTGTTATTTCATGTTTGCAAAGCCAGGTAAGATGAATAGGAGATGGTGGATCAGCCTGGAGCTGGAGAGTCTTCTCGCACGACTGTGTCCTATCCTGGACCAAGGCTTGCTCGAGGCATTGGATCTCATCATGCTGAATCTAATTGCTCTTCTTCCAGTGCCTTCTGGGGCGCTTTTAAATTTTATTCTCTTCCCCCATATCTTATATTCAGTTAACTTTTTATTCAGGAGAAAGAATGCTCAGGTCTGACACTTGAATCTTTCAGACCTCTTGGGTGTCTACATTCCATACTAAACATGTAGCTTTTATACTTATAGTCTCCCTCCAAACTCTGAGATTCCAGGGGTGCTCACCTCAGCTTCTTAGGTCGATGTTGCAGGTCTTTACTAAGAAGGGAGGAAGGGGAGAGGGAGAGGGTCCTTCTAGGCTAGATATGCTGTTCTCACATGGGTAAATTTATGATCTTTGCATAAAATAAAGAGTCCTTTCAGTTCTACAGGGTGAGTTTAGAGTGTGAATAAGTGTCAAAACCAGAAATATGTGCATCAAGATGGGTAAAAGTCATTCAGAAAACTCAAAATCTTTTGATCAAATTAGCCTCAATTTGAGATTCTCTCCTTTCACAGGAGGAGGATGAAATGGATTCTGGCACGATGGTTCGAACAGTGGGTGATGACATGGGCACTGTCCGCGCTGCCAGCACCGTGAGCGATGGTGCCAATACTATGATTGAGCATGATGACACGTTGCCATCACAGCTGGGCACCATGGTCATCAATGCGGAGGATGACGAAGAGGAAGGGACTATGAAAAGTAAGATTCTGATTAACTATACTAAGTGTTCAGACAAACTGTACATATTTTAGAGAAGACAGGTTCTCCTGGACCACGCAGTCTCTGTCCTGAGTCCCCTCTTCTGCTGCTGTCAGCACAAGTTCTGGTGAGGTGGAGAGGGCTGATGAGGGGTCCACTGGCATGTAGAATCACAGACAAGAAAGAATCAACAGTGAGAAGGGACTTTTGAACCTGAACAACCATTCTGTCATTGAATGTTACCATTTTCCCCTTTTTCACCTTGATCCCTGGAGGCAAGCACATGCGTTGTTTTGATGCATAATTCATCTCAAAGTGTAATGAAATTCTGAGCTATTTACTGTACATATTTTCAGTCTGTTTTCATGATGCTTTGTGTTTCTAACCCAGGTTTACCAACACTTAATCCACTAAAGATGACTGGATAAGTTCAAAAGTCATCAAGTCTCTTCTTATTGACTCCTGTCTTAGTCTCTTTTCTTCTGATCCATTTTTTTCTGTGATTAAGGCACAACATCTTATCTTGTATTTTCACTGCTCCAATTCTGAAATCCCCTATGTCTCCAAGGAGTTCTGGTACCTCTTATTGAAGAATGGTATTTAGAAACGAAGATCATTGTTTCTAGGTTCTCTCAGTGGACAGAGCTAGGAAATACATGTATGTACAGAAACCCACATGTACACACGCATCTGTGTTTATCTTTGTATCTGTCCATCTGCGTGTGTGTGTGTATGTATATATCTGTATATATACATGAGTGTGTGTGTATATATGTATGTAGTTGGAGCCAAAGGTATTATAATGGACTCATGGTTTTTTATATATATATGTGTGTGTGTGTATAAATAAGTAAATATAAAATATAATATATATATAAATATGTATATATACATATATATATAAAACCATGAGTCCATTATTATATCTTTGGCTCCGATGTGGTACCATAGGGTTGATTCTAGCCTTCCCTCTTTCTTTCTTTGTAACTTGTAACTTCTTTCTCCTTACATGGAGGACTCCCATTATCTACAGTATACCTGTTTGTTCACCCATAGTATACCTATAACATATCTTCAAAATTACTAGCCCGTACTACTGTGAGAAGCAAGTTAACCAGCTAGAATATGGTGTTTGTGTACAGTTCTTTTTGTCTTTAGCGTTCAGTGTCCAGCCAAAGCACTGTTTCCAAAGTTAATTGGATCAGCTGCTTTCTTCCCCATTCTGTCAGTGTAGTTATGTGAATTCATTTGCAATACAATTAGATTCATTTGTCACAGTCTACATTCCACCTCATTATCACTGGTTATAGGATTATTTCGTTTGGTGCAACCCTATGTATAAACAGAACAAAACTTGGCCCTGTTCTGCGCCATCCTCGCGATCGTTGCTGTGTTTGAGCCCATTGTTGCAGCCACTGTGTCAGTCGATCTATCTCATTGAGAGACTCCCTCTTTTTTGCTGACCCTCTACTTTACTAAGCATGATGTCTTTCTGTTGTAACTGCCTGCTGTAAATCAGAACTTTCAACTCAGCATTGCCTTATGAATGAATCTCCCTTTTCCCCCTTCTTTTATCAAAGCTTTACAAAAAGCTTTGATAAAAGGAATGTCAGGCCCTGTGCTAGGCTCTTTAAATTCTTATCTCATTCAGTGCTCTTAGGTTATGTTTCATTCTCTAAACTTAATATTTGAAATACTGTAGATATTTGGTGTTTGCTGTTACCTAAATTATGAAGTGAATGCTATGTACTAAATTTAGTTTTTCTTTCTTTTGATTTTTTTAAGTAGCCAGTACGATTTGTTAGGAAGATTTGTTTTGCAGTAATGAGCTGTTGACCTCTAGTTCTTTCCATTAACTCATAGTGCTACTTGTTTTAAGGGCTTTAGTTATGCAGATGATTATAATCACTGTGCAGTATAACTAGGCTGCCCCCCATGTGTTGTGCATGCATGGTATTATGGAAAATCTGTCCTTTTTTATTTAAAGAATTAATTTTGTTCCAAATGGAATTTTCATATTTCAAGTGTTGATTGATTCCATGGGTTGGTTGGTCTTTTCAGTTTCTGAGCTTGCATAGTTTTAGTATGTCTAATGAGAAACATGCATCTTTTATTATAATCCTGACAAGAACCATTTACAACCCCCTCAGCAGTCACAGGCTGAATGACATTAAATAAACTCAATTCAAAAACAACTTGCTACAGGTTTTGTAATTCACATTTGGGGCCACAAGTTTGACAGACTTGCCGCTTACTTTGAAATCTTGCCTTTTATTGTTTTAAGAGTTATTTAAACATTATGGAAAATTAAAACATGTACACAGTTACAGAGAATAATATCATGAGCCCATACCTGTGTCCCCAGGATTTCCAGAAGGAAAGGACGAGTGGGTTTTTTTTCCCCAATTGTGGTTTAGGTGAAAGTTTATAGTTAAGTTAATTTCTCATAGAAAAATTTATATACGTATGATTATGTGACATCAGTTGCAATCCCTGTAATGTGACAACACACTCCCCCTTTCCACCCTGGGTTTCTTGTGTCCATTCAACCAGTTCCTGTCCCTCCCTGCCTTCTTATCCTGCCTCCTGACAGGAGCCACCCATTTGGTCTCGTGTATCTGCTTGAACTAAGAAGCATACTCTTTATGAGTATTGTTTTATGTTTTATAGTCCAGTCTAATTTTTGTCTGAAGAGCAGGCTTCAGGAATGGTTTTAGTTCTGGGTTAACAGAGTGTGTGGGGGCCGTGGCTTCAGGGGTTCCTCCAGTCAGACCATTAAGTCTGACCTTTTTATGTGAATTTGAGTTCTGCTCCATACCTTTCTCCTGCTCCATCAGGGACTCTCCATTGTGTTCGCTGTCAGAGTGGTCATTGATGGTAGCCGGGCACCATCTAATTCTTCTGGTCTCAGGCTGATGGAGTCTCTGGTTTATATAGCTCTTTTGTCTCTTGGGCTAACATTTTCCTTGTGTCATTGATGGTCTTCATTCTCCTTTACTCCAAGTGAGTTGGGACCAATTGATGCATCTTAGATGGCTGCTTGCAAGCTTTTATGACTCCAGACGCCACTCACCAAAGTGGGATACAGAGCATTTTCTTAATAAATTTGTTATGCCAGTTGACCTAGATGTCCCCTGAAACCATGGTCCCCCGACCCCAGCCCCAGCTACTCTGTCCCTCAAAGTGTTTGATTGGGTTCAGGAAACTTCTTAGCTTTTGCTTTAGTTGTGCTTACTTCCTCTGTATTGTGTGTTAGGATGGGTGATTTTTAAAAGGGGCCTGCTTCTGATGATAGACGAATGATATTGTTACATCAGAGAGAATATGTTTTGGTATTGTATATCTGAGTCTACACTAAGGAGTCAGATTGTGGTTGGAGGGAGGGGATTTAGGGTGGGGGGCTAAGGAATGATTGCTTTATAAGAGGCCTCAAGAACTCCTGTAAGAACCATAATGGTAAACACTATTTTGAAAACCCCTGTCTGGATAAAATAGCAGTTTGAGGATTTTGGAAGACTTCTTCTATTTGTCTTGGTATCTTTTCTCGTTTGTTTGTTTGTTTTTTGACAAGAGCTCTAGAAGAACCTTGCTTGCCCCCAGGAACTGAAAGTGCAGTCCTAAGGTGACATGATGTGACAGTGTTAGGATGATTTTGCTTTCTCTGGACCAGAAGAGGGAGCTCTGTAATAGCTTATGAGTTAAAACTGTTTCCATTTGGTTCCCAAATCCCCTTTCTATGGTAGGCTTTATTCTAGATCAAGACTATTATTTATTTATTTTTAAATAACCATGGCAATACTAGGGCAATGTCTTTATTTTCTCTAGGTTGGAGATTGGGTGCCTCATACTTGGCAAAGTAGTTGACAGCGTTTCCTCTCCCTTCCCAGGTTTTTCAGTGGACTTTAGCCAGAACTGGTGTCTTTCAGCAGCTTGATAACCATTTGTTTAGTTTTGAAACAGTTATCACCCAAAATGGCAGTACCCAAATGTTTCAGTCATCTCGTGCTGCTATAACAGAAATACCACAAGTAGATGGCTTTAACAAAGAGAAATTTATTTTCTCACAGTCGAGTAGGCTACAAGTCCAAATTCAGGACATCAGCTCCAGGAGAAGTCTTTCTGTCTCTTTGCGCTCTGGAGGAAGGTCCTTGTGATACATCAGTCTTCCCTTGGTCTGGGAGCATCTCAGTGCAGGAACCTTAGGTCCAAAGGACGTGCTCTGCTCCCGGCGCTGCTTTCTTGGTGGTATGAGGTTCCCATGTGTCTCTGCTTGCTTCTCTCTTTTATATCTCAAAAGAGATTGTCTTAAGACACTATCTAATCTTGTAGACCTCATATCAGTATAACTGCCGCTAATCCATTTTATTACATCATAGTGATAGAGTTTACAACACATAAGGAAATCACATCAGATTACAAAATGGTACACAATCATACAATACTGGAAATCATGGCCCAGCCAAGTTGACAGAGATTTTTGGTGGACACAATTCAATCCATGACACCAAATAATTACATATTTTTAATAAAACTAATAGTTCTTGTGTAGAACTGACTTAGGAGAAAGTTATTTTATGTATCAAAAAAATGTTAATAATGACACTTTATAGCTTTTGCTGCCTAGTCACTTCTTTAGTCTTAATCTTATTTATTTCCACGTTGACTACAGAAGAGTCTCATCCTTTCTTTGAATAGCATTTGCCCTTTTTTCTTTTTTAGTCTTTTTGTTACTGATTTGTGACCGTTGCCGTCGAGTTGATTCCCACTCATAGCGACCCTATAGGACAGGGTAGAACTGCCCCATAGGGTTTCTAAGTAGCGGCTGATGGATTTGAACTGATGGCTTTTTGGTTAGCAGCCAAATGCTTAACCTCTGTGCCACCAGGGCCGTACTGATTTGTAGTAATTCTTTATATTTTGGGTACTAACTAGTTTTTTGTCAGTTTATGTACAATATTTTCTCCCAGTTTGTGGCTTTTGCTTTTAACTTTGCAGTGTCT